GCTGGGAGTGGTGGCTTACACCTGTAATCCTAGCACTCTGGGAGGCTGAGGCGGGAGGATCGCTCAAGGTCAGGAGTTCAAGACCAGCCTGAGCAAGAGTGAGACCCCATCTGTACTAAAAATAGAAAGAAATTAATTGGCCAACTAAAAATATAGAAAAAAATTGGCTGGGCATGGTGGCATATGCCTGCAATCCCAGCTACTCGGGAGGCTGAGGCAGAAGGACTGCTTGAGCCCAGGAGTTTGAGGTTGCTATGAGCTAGGCTGGTGCCATGGCACTCTAGTCCAGGCAACAGAGTGAGACTCCATTCCCCCCGGCCAAGACCATCCATCTTTGTCCCCTGGTGAAGTGGACCATGAGATGGAGCTCCCAAAGACCAACACCAAAACGGCCTCCTCTGGGTCTCCCTCCCCCACTGGGCCCCGCTCAGCCACAGTGTTCCCCTAACATCTTACTTTTACTTCCAGGCCTTTGTGCTTGCTGTCCCTTGGCCCTGAACACTCTTCTCTTTTTCTTCCCCAGGTTCATCTGTCCTCCTCTTTTAGGTCTCAGCTTGGTGACATTGCCTCCAGAATGCCTCCCCTAAGCCCTAGGGTGGGGTCAAGAGCCCTTCTCTGTGCTCCTAGATCCTGTGATTACCTTATGATAGCACTGACTATACGGTATTATAATTAATTGCCTGTTTACTTGTCCCACTTCCCTTTGAGATCAGGAATTCCTGAAAAGCTAGTCTTTTCATTACTGTTTGTCCAGTGTTCAAAACACAGCTACTGAATGAATGAATGAACAAATCAACGTGGGATAAAGTAGAAAAGGCTGGGCAGGGAACGGCTGGGTATCCTCCACCCCTCCAGCCTTCTCTCATACCCACCTGCCTCATGAGCTCAGGGTTGTTGAGCATGTGGCTGATCTCAGGGTTCCGCTCCATCAGCTGCTGCATCTGGGGGTTGGCCATGATCATGTGGCGCATCAGGTCAGGGTTAGACATCATATCCTGGACCAGGGGGTTCTCCATGATCTGTGACAGCATCTCAGGATTGGACATCAGCTGCCTCTGCATCTGCTGCTGCAGCTCCATGAAGTTTGCAGAGCCCAGGCCCAGGCTGCCCAGCCCCAGGATGCCCCCAAAGCCAGCTGTAGGGAGGGGGGCAGGGTCACAATCTGCCACAAGAGCCCTTCCCTCACCTAGCCAGAGCCACTGACTCTAGAATGGGCCCCAACTGTTTCTCCCTCTTCCAAACACTCCCACAGCCCCAGCCCTAATCCACCACAGGCAAAGAGATGTGAGCCTACTAGACTGAGACCTCTTTGATGGCAGAAGCTGAGCCAGGAACAGAACTAAGCAGAGAAAAGGCAACCAGTGATGGCCTGTTAAATGAGTAAATACTCCCCATCTGGCTACTGGTGGATCCACCTTTTCCTTAGACTCACAGGGTCTTCTAATTTCCTCACTCAGGGTTCCCCACATCTCCAGCCCCATTTCTCCCATCACTCCTAACACTTAGCTATGCTTTCCTCCTCTGGGAAGTCCTCACAGACTGGTTTCTTCCCCAGCTCTACTCAAGTACCAATGTCTGGAACCCTATGTCAAGGGGTCCCCATCCCCATCAGACCAGGAGCAGGGCCATGTTTCTCCCTCCTCTTGGCTCTCCCCCACTTCCCAGCCCCAAACAAGATTGTGCTCTCGTCCCTAAGGGCTTACAGAGTATGGATGCAGTAGCACTGGGGGGTCCCTCCCCAGCCGCTGGGGAGGGACCCCCCCCACTGCTCCTCCGGCTTCCACTGCCGGCATCCGAAATGGCACTGCCAGAGGTGGAGGGCTGGGCAGGGGTGGCGGGTGAAGCAGGCGTGGTGGAGGGTGCTGAGGCAGGGTCAGGAGTGGAGGGGGAAGAAGCAGTGGCAACAGCTGGATCTTGAGCCCTGAGGACAGAGAAAGGAGAATCCTAGTTGGAGTGAGCACAAGAAGAGGGAAGGTACCACAATGATCTCTGTGCTTACTGTGCAGCTACTGCCCTAACCCAAGCCACCCTGAACAACCTTGAGGCTGGGGTGGGGTGATGCTGGAGGGCAGTAAGTAAACCAGGGAGAGCAAGAGAGGAGCTAGTATCATCTGTCTTCAGGGCATTCTGGGACTGGTAAGTCAGTTCCCTTCCCCTGGAGATGATCACATCCACCCAGAAGCCACCTCCCTGGGCCTGGGCATAAGCCTTCTAGGTAGAGTGGAGCAATGGGTGAGAAAGTATCAGATGGAGAGGCCCAATCAGAAGCTGGGTCTTCTCCTCTCCTGAACTTACTTCTGAGGGGTCTTGATAACCAGATGGACAGTGAGTCCATCCTTGATTCCATGCTGGTTCAGTGTGTCCCCATCCTTGAGGATCTTGCCTGCGAAGATCAGGACCAGCTGATCCTGCTGAGCCTTAAACTTCCGGGAGATCTCCTCTTTGAACTGTGATGAAGAGGAAGAGATCACTGTGGAGGCTGACTGGTATCCAACCACCAGGGACCCTGCCTCTTCTTCAAAAGCCTCTGCATTCTCTTGCTCCCATCTCTGGTCATGTGAAGTCCTTTCTATAGTCTCAACTCTATCCCTCTGGCTGCAATAAGCATCTCCTTTCTTAGCCAAGAGGATGGACCAGTGAGAGGCTCTTCTTTCAGCTCCATGGCAGAGTCTCCCATCATAGAAAGCCCTTGTTGCTATCTGCCACCAGCTTCAGTCCCTCCACCTAGTTCCCTGTAAGGGTACTGCCTGGGCAGCCCTCCCCATCCCAACTCCTTCAACAGCTTTGGACCCAGGTCCTCTCTCCCTTTAGCCTTCTCTGCTCAGACCCAACCAAGTCTCTCTCCTTTCTATTCCCAGTGTTCTCATAACAATCACCACCACAAACAAGATCCCAATTATTGGGCACTAACTATTAACGAGTTAATGGTTCAGCATATTATCTCCATTTTAAAGATGAGAACACTGGGGATCAGAAGTTAAGTAACTTGTCCTGGGAAGACTGGAACTCAGGTCTTGACCAAAGTCCAGGTTCTTAACCAGACATACTGTCGTCTGTCAATGAGAGCTGTTTTCAAATTCAGTTTTGCAGGAAACAGTACAGTATTTAAACTTTGAAATTTAGTCATTTTACATGGTTGGGGAGGGAGCAGTGATGGTATGAAGGGCTGGCCTGGGGAGAGTTAGACTGCTCAAATTCTATCAGCCCTTCCAAAACAAAACAAAACAAACAACAAAACTGCATGTTCTAAGTAAAAACAGTGCGCTTGTTAAGCAAAGACAGATCTAGATCCCTCTCTTCCAACCAGATTGCCTATCTTAAGCCTCGCCTGTGAAATTCTGGAGCAGCACAGGGGGGTGGCTAACTCAGGCAACAGTCCCTCATTCACTCATTCAACAAAATTTTATTGAGCACCTACTGCCCGCTGTGTAAATCTCAGAATAGCTGAGAGGCAAATGTAACCACTTTCATTTAAAGAGTGGGAAGGATCTGGATAGAGGGGAAACCTCCCCCACTGCCCTGGCATTCTCCGCCTGCCCCCAGCCCATTTTCCTGGTTCAACACCTTGCCCAGACCCCCTACTTTGGCACACTCCCCTAAATCCTACGATCCTTCCCCCTTCCCTGTGCAAGGTGTTCCCTCCCCAAACTCCACCACGCCCCCAGCCCTGGCCACAAGGCAAAACCCGCCCCCCCAACACGCGCCATGCTCCCCGAGATCTACCCTTGAAGGGCGCCCCCTACCCGCCTCTCCTTCCCTCCAGCTCCTCGGAGTCCCAGCTGGCCCCCGTCCTCCCCTCAGGGCCCTCCGGGACTCCAGACCGTCACAGAGGCCCCCCCCATCTCTTCACAGACCCCTCCCCCGCGCTCCCCCAGTTCCCCAGCCAGCAGTACTACCTCTTTGACCGAGGCTCGGTCGCAGATCACAATTTCCTCCTTGTCCTTCGGGGTCTTGACGGTGACCCGAATGGGGGGCCTCGTTTCGGCCCCGCTCGGCTCCGCCATGCCGCCGCCACCACCCGGCCGCCCGCCAGCCCGCCCGGCTCCTCCTCCTCCCCGCCCGCCCGGCCGGCCCAGCTCGGCTCCGGCGCCTCCAACACTCCCCTCTCTCCTCCCCTCTCCTCCCCTCCCCAAGGCTTCGTCGCCCCCTCCGGACCAGACGCAGCCACAGCGCCCCGGGCGGACTGGGGGGGCCACTGCAGCGGGGTCCGCCCAGGGCTGAGCTCCGGGTCGGAAGCCTGGACCGGGCCTCGCCAGGCTACGGCCTCCGTAGGGACTCTGGGCAGGAGAGGGGCGTGTCCTTCACGACAAGGTCGGGAGGCGAGCTCCCAGAGAGAGACCCCGGCCCATCCTAACCCGCCCGAGCCCCGCCGCTGTCCCCTCCAGCCCAAAGCCTCCCCGCCCCCTCCACGGGTAACTCCCGCTCTGGGACAAAGGACTTTCTGTGTCGCTGCTTTATCTCCGTTCCCTGTGATAACTTGCTCTTTCTTAGGAGGCCCAAGTCCCTTCCAGGCCTGGGGCCTCTCCCGACTTGGAGCTCGGATTTTCCCACCGCCGTATTTCCACTTAAGATCTCATTTCTAGGATTGACCCGATCCTACAAGGGTCGTGGCCTGAATTGTCAATATTAAGTACGGTTCCAGAGACCTGGGTTCTGCCTGCGTAGCCTTATCTGAGCTTTGGTTTCCTCAAGATAATCGCACCTCTCGCCTTATTTCACAAATTGAGCATAAGGTAGAACAGTTTTGAAAATAACCAAAGGTGTGCCTGACAAATCCGAGGAATGCTTATTCTTATTATTGAATCGTGGACTGCCAAGCGGACATGAGGACTTCTCTCTCCACTGAGGGGTTAAATGTCCTTCCACTGCTGCCACTGTCCTTTCACTCCCGCTTTTTTCCCCCCATAACCGCGTGGGCTGACTGGAAAGGCAAACTATAGTTCCCAGGGTGCCTCGCGAGGCCACCAGGAACTACAATTCCCAATGCCCTCGGCAGTAGGGCGGGGCTGAGTCAGAACCACAATAGCCAGGCCAGGAACTACAACTCCCAGGGCAGGCTTTCGGGAGCAGGGCAGCTGGACTACGGGAAGCATCTGGCAGCGGCCCGCAAGAGGCAACTTGGAGGATCTGGGTGTAAAAGGCCAGGGTTAGGAGCCACAGGCATGCTGCGTCCCAAGGCTTTGACCCAGGTGCTAAGCCAAGCCAACACTGGAGGCGTCCAGAGCACCCTGTGAGTGAGTGCTGACCGAGGGCCTGAGCGGCGAGCGCTGCAGTGGGGCGGTGCGCGGCTTTCTGAGGGAGAGGCGGGGAAGGATCGCCGGGAAGGGAGGAGGCGGCAGAGGGGGCAGCAGCTGGGTGAACCGGCCAGGAGGTCCCCTCTCGCAAAGAGAAAAGGGAAGCCGGCGTGCTGGTGCTCGGGGCAGATTTCAGGACACACTCAGCCTAGACTCTTGCTTCCTGGAAGTGCCAGTGGAGGGACTTGGCATGGGAACCCAGCCCTTTTACTCCCCGTTCTTTTACTGAAAACACTGATTATCCTCCCCTCCCTCGCCAGGCTGCTGAATAACGAGGGATCGCTACTGGCCTACTCGGGTTATGGGGACACGGACGCCCGGGTCACCGCGGCCATCGCCAGTAACATCTGGGCTGCCTACGACAGGAACGGGAACCAAGCGTTTAATGAAGACAATCTCAAATTCATTCTCATGGACTGCATGGTATGGAGAAGGGAGCTAGGCTTTCCCTGTCCCAAGGGGACCCCAAAGGGTCGACCTGGACCCCATCCTGTATGGCTGGAAGGGCAGGGACAGGATCCAGAAGAGTATTAAAAGTTGGTCTCTGCAGCATTTGTAATAGGCAGGACCATATGCATCAAGTGGTGGTGGAAGGATCCCTGAACCTGCGGTCTGACTTGGGTTCTGGTGTCAGCTATCCACTTATCAGTTGTGGAACCTTGGGTAAATCACTTAATCTCTTTGAGCTTCCTTACCTCATCTCTAAGGAGGAAACAGTAATATTCCCTGTCCCCTCACAGGGTGCATATAAACTGTAGAATCATGCACAGAGTGTTGTCATCCCAGCTTCACTGATTCACAGAACCATGGCAGAGTCTGCAGACTCTAGTCCAACCCCTTCAGTTTACAAAGAAAGGAAATGAAGTCCAAAAAGAGAAAGTAGACCGTGAACTTCTTAGAAACAGGGACTGTCTCACTCACCTTTACATCTGTTCAGTCAACAAGTATTTAGGCTCCTGCAATATTCTCAGGACTAGGGGAAAAGTAGCAAACAGGACAGGCAAAACCTCCAGACTTAATGAAGCTTACAGTCTTACATGTCTTAAAATAAGTAAAATATATAGTACATTAGGTATTGAAGATGTAATCTAGGACAAACTAGGATGGAAAAAAAAATAAAAAAAATGAAGATATAATGGAGAAAAATAAAGTAGGGAAGTGAGCATTGTGGGGTCATCTGTCAGACACAGTCTCACTGAACAGGTGACATTTGATCAAAGATCTGGGGCAAACCATTGTGGCTATCTGAGAGCAGAACATTTCTGACAGAACAACAGGTACAAAGGCCCTGTGGCAGAATGATTCCTGATTACCAATCAAAAAGGTTAGTATGGCTGGATTTACGTGAGAAGTGGGGGTGTTAGTAGAAGGTGAGCCCTGGGAGGCAAGGGTACAGTGCACAGTTCCTAGCATATAGTGGATACCTAGTGAAGGTTTGCCAAACCAAATCAAATAGGCACTAAGGGTGAACTCTCCAGGAAAGATGTCCCTGTAATTCAACTGCCTACCTTTCCCTACCACCTGCCCAACCAATGCCATTTTGGTTCAACAGATGACTCCTACTGGATGCCTAGCCTAGAATTAGTGCTATAGGGCAATAGCTTTCAAACATTTTGACCACAAGCCAGCTATAAGAAATATGTTTCATTTGTATTTTTTTTGTTAGATATGGGAGTCTATCCTGTGTTGCCCAGGCTGGCCTTGAACTCCTGGGCTTAAGTGATCCTCCCACCTCAGCCTCCCAAGTAGTTGAGACTACAGGCACATGTCACTGTGTCCAGCTAGAAATACATTTTAAGTTAGAGCCCAGTACATACATACATCCATTAAAACAAAAGTTTCATGAAATGGTACTTCCCTTACTACATGCAATGCACTTCATTTCTTCTTATTATTTTAAAATGTTGATCAACCTTCTTAATTTATCTCCTAACCATGAGGTCATACATATAGTTTCAAAAACATTACCATGGGAAAAGAGGAAGGAGAAATATTAGTTGGGTTACTGCTCCCATTCCTTTGTCAGTGTCTTTGACTTGATCCCATAATAATAACATCACCCATTTGGACAACTCTTGGCAGGTATAAAACCCCTTCATGTGTATTAGCACCCTCACTAACTGGGATGAGATAGGGGGTATGGAAAGAAAAACTAAGTTTCTGGGGGACTGAGTTTCCTACAGTAACTTGATTAGTAGATGGCTGTGCTGAGGCTAAAACCTGGGCTCAGAACCTCATGTTCAGAGTTGTGACCAAAGCTTTCCAGCTGAACCTCCTGCTGTGCCCAGGGCATAGAAGGAAGATATAGTCTCTCTGGGACCAGAGGAGCCCTTGGAGAAGGCAGGAGCTAAAGGTACCAAGCAGAGTATCACATCCCATCATATCACCCCCACCAGGAGGGTCGTGTAGCCATCACCCGAGTGGCCAACCTTCTGCTGTGTATGTATGCCAAGGAGACCGTGGGCTTCGGAATGCTCAAGGCCAAGGTGTGTATGTGCCCATCCTGCCACAACCCTGGGCCCAGCCTTCATGTTCCATGACTGTGTCCACTCCCACCCGTACCACGTGTCTGGAGTCCTCATGTCTATTCAGTCCCTGGTGTAGGCTCACTCCCAGGAGCAGGTGGGGGCTAGGGACTGGTTGTTCAGTATGGCATTAAGAGTAGACCCGGGCTGGGCGCGGTGGCTCACGCCTGTAATCCTAGATTTTTTTGAGACAGAGTCTCGCTTTTTTGCCCAGGCTAGAGTGAGTGCCATGGCGTCAGCCTAGCTCACAGCAACCTCAAACTCCTGGGCTCATGCGATCCACCTGCCTCAGTCTCCCAAGTAGCTGGGACTACAGGCATACACTACTACGCCCAATTTTTTCTATATATTTTTAGTTGACCAATTAATTTCTTTCTATTTATAGTAGAGACGGGGTCTTGCTCTTGCTCAGGCTGGTTTTGAACTCCTGACTGAGCAATTCGCCTGCCTCAGCCTCCCAGAGAGCTAGGATTACAGGTGTGAGCCACCGTACCCGGCCTAAAAAATGTTTTATTGAAGCATAATATAACTATAGAAAAGTTCTCTTATATTTTTTGTTTTTTGAGTTAGAATCTCGCTCTGTAGTCCAGGCTAGAGTACAGTGGTGTCAGCCTAGCTCCAGCAACCTCAAACTCCTGGGCTCAAACAATCCTCCTGGCTCAGCCTCCCAAGTAGCTGGGACTATAGGCATATACCATCTCGCCCAGCTCATTTTTTCTATTTTTAGTAGAGATGGGGTCTTGCTCTTGCTCAGGCTGGTCTCAAACTCCTGACCTCGAGTGATTCTCCCACCTGGGCCTCCCAGAGTGCTAGGATTACAGACATAAGCCACCGTGCCCAGCCGAAAAGTGCCTTGAGCAACCTGGAGAGCATGATCATAAGTGTACAGTCTTGATGTCTGGTACAGTGACTTCCCCACTTTACTCTTCAACATCATCTTGGTTATTATTAGCATTGCTCTTTCAAGTTTTATAAACTACTTGTAGGGATCAAGCATGAATTTTTAAAGGAATTTATTTGTTTACTTTAAATTTTATTTGAGTATTTAATTGAAAAAAAATTTTTTTTTTGAGACAGAGTCTCACTTTGTTGCCCAGGCTAGAGTGAGTGCCATGGCGTCAGCCTGCTCACAGCAACCTCAAACCCTTGGGCTTAAGCAATCCTCCTGGCCTCGAGC